TTAGATACTCTCTTTGTCATAGATATATATATATATATATATCTATATATATAATATATATACATATACATATACATATACACACACACATACAGTCATGGCCGAAATTGTTGGCACCCTTGATATTTCTCCAGGAAATCAATGTATTTCTCACGAAACGTATTGCATTAACACATGTTTTGCTATACACATGTTTATTCCCTTTGTGTGTATTGGACAAAAACAAAAAAAAGGGAGGAAAGAAAGAAAGCAAAATTCGACATAATGTCACACAAAACCTCCAAAAATGGGCTGACAAAAGTATTGGCACCCTTTCACAACTGCGGATAAATAAGAATGTACAAGCATGTGATGCTCCTGTAAACTCACCTGGGGGCAAAAACAGGTGTGGGCAATATAGAAATCACACCTGAAAGCAGATAAAAAGGAGAGACGTTCACGTTTAACCTTTGCATTGTGTGTCTGTCTGTGCCACACACTAAGCATGGACAACTGACGAGAAACTGTCTGAGGACCTGAGAACCAAAATTGTGGCAAATATCAACAATCTCAAGGTTACAAGTCCATCTCCAGAGAACTAGATTTGCCTTTGTCCACAGTGCGCAAACATTATCAAGAAGTTTGCAACCATGGCACTGTAGCTAATTCTCCTGGTCGGTGGACGGATGAGAGGAAAATTGATGAAAGATTGCAAACGCAGAATAGTCCGGATGGTGGATAAGCAGCCCCAAACATGTTCCAAAGACATTCAAGCTGTCCTGCAGGCTCAGGGAGCATCAGTGTCAGCGCGGAAACTATCCGTCGACATTTAAATGAAATGAAACGCTATGGCAGGAGACCCAGGAGGACCCCACTGCTGACACAGAGACATAAAAAAGCAAGACTACAGTTTGCCAAAATTGTACTTGAGTAAGCCAAAAGCCTTCTGGGAAAACGTCTTGTGGACAGATGAGACCAAGATAGAGCTTTGCGGTAAAGCACATCATTTACTGTTTACCGAAAACGGAATGAGGCCTACAAAGAACAAAACACAGTTACCTACGGTAAAATATGGTGAGGTTCAAATGATGTTTTAGGGGTTGTTTTGCTGCCTCTGGCACTGAGGTGCCTTGACTGTGTGCAAGGCATCATGAAATCTGAGGATTACCAAAGGCTTTTGGGTCGCACTGTAGGGCCCAGTGTCATAGGAAGCTGGGTTTGCGGTCCAAGATCCTGGGTTCTTCCAGCAGGACAATGACCCCAAAACATACGTCAAAAAGCACTCAGAAATGGATGGCAAAGAAGCGCTGGAGAGTTCTGAAAGTGGGCCAGCAATGAGCCCAGATCTAAATCCCATTGAACACCTGTGGAGAGATCTTAAAATTGCTGTTGGGAAAAGGTTTTTGGTGTCCTTCCAATAAGAGAGACCTGGAGCTGTTTGCAAAGGAAAGAGTGGTCCAAAATTCCGGGTGAGAGAGGTGTCAGAAAGCTTTATTGATGGTTATAGGAAGCGATGATTTCAGTTATGTTTTCCAAAGGGTGTGCAACCAAATATTAAGTTAAGGGTGCCAATACTTTTGTCCAGCCCATTTTTGGGGTTTTGTGTGACATTATGTCCCATATTTTTGCTTTGCCTCTGCCTCTGTTTTATATTTGTTCCAATACATACAAAGGGAATAAACATGTGTATAGCAAAACATGTGTTAATGGCTTAGAAAGCAAAAGAGGAAACATTTTTCAACCTTTCATCATGATTTATCACATTTAAAACACCACCACTCTCACTACTAAGTCTTGTTACTATTTATGTCATAAATACATACGTGCCCCAAGATTGTGTGTGAGTAGATAAGCCAAAGTAATAAATACCTACTTTATTATACGTACAAAATTTAAAACAACACAGTGCACATAATTAGTGAAGAAAAGAAAAATAATTGGCATTCGTTTATGTCTAATCTACTGATTTTTTTTCTCAATTATACAGTCAGCTTTACTTAACCTTACACAAAACTAGAGATCCTTATGCTCTGCACAAGAGACAGAATTTAGGTTTAGGTCAGAAACCTGCACATGTGGTAAAACTGAAGGGAGATATTTCATATTCTTTGGACTATTTTCTAATCACCCCATTTTTTTTTTCAATTTGGAAGATAAGTGTTCACAAACAAACAGGAAAAACATAGTCATCCTAGAACAGTTCTTACCAGCATATGCTATGTTTTCTCTAAATCCTTAGCTTTCCTCCTTTGAAAATTGGTAATGCAATTGTTTGCTTCTTCACATTCCAGTGCTGCTCTGTACTGTATGTCCTCCTCACTTGGTCCACACATTTAGTTTGGGACTGCAAGAAACTCAGGTTCATCCAGCCCCTTCTTATGATCTCAGTTTGTCATGTACAAACTCCCTGGGGATGATCATCACTGAGCCTGGGCTCACAGTGTAATCTTCCATTGAGCAGTGCTCAGATGTCACAATCGGACACCACGCTATGTAGTACTGAAAACTGCTAGTGCATGACCATGTAAAACCATCTAGAATTAAGGTATATATGCTTTACATTTTTTATGCAGTGAGGGGCTCAGGGAGTGGGGGGTTTTAGGCCCCATGTACATGGGACACGTCTGAACGATGGAAACTGACTGCTGGAAAACGTAGGTTAAAAAACGGCTGTTTAGCCGCGTTTGCATAACGCGTTTATGCGTGTTTACGTTTAGAAATGGTTTAATTTACAGATAAGCACAGGAGAACCTCCCAAATGCCCAGAATGCACTGAAAAATGGTAAATTATTAACGATTTCAGACTGTTTCAGAGAAATATAGAGAGTAGAAGCAGAGATAGAAGTATGTGTTGAGATTAGCTTAGGTGTGAGTTGCTGATTAACATTTCTTATGTTTCCAAGGGTGGGAAAGGATTCTGGTGGAGTGAGTCATTAAGGCATTAAGGCAGGGGGTCTCCAGGAGGAATTTGATGCGTGTATGGTCATTAACATCTTATATTTCCAAGGGTGGGAGAGGTCTTTGGTGTGAATTGGTCATTACAATGTGTGACAAGCTTGGTAGGAACATCCTGTTTCAGTGTTTTGTCCATCTGAGTACCTTGAAAATGGTTTGCATGCATTTTTCATGATGAAAAAAAGGCTTGGACAGCATCGGGAACTGTAAGAAAAAAAACATTTTCAGACGCAAACGCTTATAAACGCAATTTGCCGCGTTTACAACAAATTGGGGTTTGAAAACGCTGATAAAATCGACTGCTGAACACAAGTTTTCTGCGTTCAAAAAAAACTACTGTAAACTCAAATGCCTGTAAACGACTGTAAATGAAGATGTGTACATGGACACATAGGAAAACATTAGGGAGAGTTCAGGGGCTGCTGAAAAAAAACTCTGAACAGCTCCTAAACGCGAGTTTTTCAGCTGCAGTATACATGAGCCCTAACAATGAGAAATTGGACTTCAAGCATTCTATTTACCATCAAACCATTTAGGCAATGTTTTAATCATATATGTACTAAGAGGTTGCATTATATTGTCAAGAATGTCTTGAGTACCAGATGGTACAAAACCCCTCAACTCTTACGCAAGATTAATCCCCAGCGTCATCCTTGTGCTGGCAGTGCCTAAAGTCAGAAGGTTCACTCCCACATATATTCTGGGATTGCCCAGTACTCTCCACCTTTTGGTCAGAAGTTAAATCATCCATAAATATCTCACCGGATGGCCCCTAACAGGCTCACCTGCCACCTACCTTCATGATACACATACAGTATATCATACAAACGCTGTAGTATGTAGTACTGAAAACTGGCCTCATAAATTCACTTGCAAAACATCTTTTAACGCTGCAACGTGCACAATGCAATCCGACTCGCTGGAAATAAACTGATCTCCCTACAATCAAACTCCGGCGTGTGAGAGTCTCTGACATTCACATGACAAGACTACGACATAGTAAATTTTGGCTGTATGAAATTTTGCATTGTAACATTAGCTCAACCATCATCTTTGAAAAAAAATGCTTAACATAAAGGCAGGTGAAAAAAAAAAAAAAAGTCTTACCTTGCACCACAAAAGTCCCACAATAAAGTGTGCCATTAATAAAATTGTGTCATTAAGAACAAAGTGCAAAACACATAAGTGTGATATGAGATAAAGAAGCTCTCCAAAGCTGGCTATAGTTACGAGATGAACAGAATTCTGATCTGGGAGTTTTCCGGCTGAAGTATTTTGGTTACTTACTGCTCCATCTGAAGTATGACAGCCCATTTATGGCTACCACAAATGTATTTTTTTTATTGCATGTCAAAAAGTCAAAGATGTACATTTGAAGGAGGTTATCAAATATGAGGATGGTAAATAACATATAAAGAAAGAGGTTGCCCATTCAGGGGTGGCCAACCTGCGGCTCTCCAGCTGCTGCAGGACTACAAGTTCCATCATGCCTCTGCAAGTCAGTAACTTCCCATCTTTGCAATGCCTCATGGGAAATGTAGTTCCACAACAGCTGGAGAGCCACAGGTTAGCCACCCCTGTTAAGTGATGGCCATTTTGGACACAGACATGTACCAACTTTAGGCCCCTTTCGTCTAAAATGACTCATGTGTGGGAAACTTACAGAACCAAAGCAATGAGCAAACTATAAACCTAACAGATCTACCTGCAGAGTATTAAGAAGTTAGACATTAACAATGCTAAAATGTTCAAAAAATATAGACTCCTCAGTATAACAATGCCTACACTAGGTGGCGGCAGGCCATGAACAAAAGGTCCAGTCAACAAACAATTGTTATTAGAAATGATCATTGGCTAAACTTGTTTTGTGCGCATAAAGAGAGTAGGGGAGGCACTTTAGACACCAGCTTGCCAAGGGTAAAAAATTATTTAAATGCAATCTGCAATCTTTTAGGGAAAAGCAGAACTTTTTTTTTTTTTTTTTTAAATAGAGCATTTTTTTTAGTGCAATAGTAGACCTGAGGACTTGAGCATCAGTGTACAGTCTGGCAACCAGTCACCATATAAAAAGGAGCTTTGTTGGTGATGTCACAAAAGGTTTATAATAGACTTGTGTAAACTACACCAATGAAGCCTGGTTTTCTATACTCTGAATTGGCAGACGTTAATAAACCTAAAACAGCTGTATGCAAATTAGATATATGGATATATATATTCACGGCTGCGTCTGTATCTGAATACAAAGTTGGCCACTAGATCATAAGGGGAGAATTGTGGCTCCGTCCACTTTTCTTAAATAAGGAAAAAACGTATTGAATTTGTGAGGATGTGATTATAATACAAATTATATATAAGCATACATACACACACATATTATATATATATTATCATGTGTGCGAATAAATACACAAGGCTAGATTTTCATTATTGTGGCCTGTAGAAGCGCAACTTTTGGCACCCTTAGTAACAACTCTTAGAATAATTTATTTTCTACACAACATTTTCTTGCTTTGTGGTTCTGACCTCGTTTAGAATACAGCTTCATATATTATTATTATGTTAAATTACATTTTAGTCTAATAATGGAAAAAAAAAAAAAAAAAAAAACACATTGTGGCCAATAACTGTACAGGGAAAAGCCACCTGTTTGCTTCTGCCACCTATAGGCACATGCTTATTGAGGCGAATGATAAATCTGGCCAGAATAATATAAGTAGTCCATTTACACATTACTAAATGAATCATATGAAAGGGGGGTGGGGGGAGATTTATCAATTAAAAGTTGGCCATGTACTAGCAGAATTTAATTTGGAAATGTTTGTTCAATTTTCTAATGGTTAATGTGGTCAAACAAGATGATTTTTCTTGCCATTCCGCTCGAAAACTAAGGGAAAAGGATTGAAAATGTTTTTGGTTTAACATTAAATTTCCATCCATGTTGAAATTGAATGTTAAAATTTGCAACATTATCATTGAGCACATTTTTTCAGGACTTTCATATGAAATGTGTAACGTTACAATGTGCATAGGCAAATGTTTGCATAAAAATGTAACAGTGTATGGCTAGTTTAAGAAGCACAAGAACAAAGCTACATTACTAGAGATTTTCTTTAGTATTATGGCTCAAATAATTTTATCCCCTACTGTTCAAAAGAGAATATGCACTAAATATGTTTCGAATCATCACTGACATGTATCTGTGCTAAGTAATTAAAAAAAATGCATGTAATAGTAAATTTGCTGCAGATGTAGGCAAACCAGTCTGAGCAGCACAGGTTTGCGAGCTTATGTGAAGCGTCTGCAAATCCCTTGCTAAAAGAGACATGGATCATGCTGCTTAGGTGCTGGATGGAATCTCTGCCTTCAATGTTTCGTATAAACATGAATGAGGCAATTAGACTGCCAATTGATGTTACTACCTGATCCAACCTCAAAATGAATTTTTCTTCCCAGACAAGTATAAAGCCAGCACAGTTCAGAGGGTTCAGTGCTTATTGCATCTCACACAAACTAGCTCTGAACCAAAGTGAAAAAAACACTTTGTGATGTCTACTCTAAACACAGCCAGCCATGCAGTATGCTGTGTACCATTTAAAGAAGAAGTGCAGCCAAAAGTATTACCTGAGCCTGCCTCCTCTCCAGCCCTGTGCTCCAGTGAGCGCTAGAGGGGCAGAATGGAGAGCGGCGACTGACCATCACTGCTTTCCACTCCAAGAAGACAAAGAACTGAGAGCTCAGCAGTCATGTGATCACTCAGTTCTTGGTCTTAGAGCGGATGTGGAATAGCTGCAACATTGAGTTGAGTATGTATGTATGTATGTATGTTTTGTTTTCCCAAGTCCATACTTCTCCTTTAAGGCACGCATCACCAAAAAGCAGTTGTGAATATACAGTATCTTGTACACACAGAAAACTATAATGTTTTGGTCAATCTCATCTTAAAAATAAATCTTTATCATCTCTAAATATGTAATATATACAGAGAATTCTCAAAGTGCCATTGGTTAGCAAATGACTGCAAAATACATTTTTCGTGCCTTGTTTATTTTCAATCAATAGAAAAAAAATTTCTATGTATACAGCTGTGCTTCTACGTACCTTATACTTATGTACATTACTCTATGCACGTTTATAGTAACATGTAGATTCCTCCAGTATGTGACATGAGGCACTATTCCTTCTACTGAAGAGAACAATGGGACCCCATTTCTCCCGCTGACACCAATGATTGGGCACCATTCCTCCCACTGACACCAACGATGGGGGCACCGCTCCTCCCACTGACACAAATGATGGTGCACCATTTCTCCCACTGACACCAATGATGGTGCACCATTCCTCCCACTGACACCAATGAGGGTGCACCATTCCTCCCACTGACCCCAATGAGGGTGCACCATTCCTCCCACTGACCCCAATGAGGGTGCACCATTCCTCCCACTGACCCCAATGAGGGTGCACCATTCCTCCCATGACCCCAATGAGGGTGCACCATTCCTCCCACTGACCCCAATGAGGGTGCACCATTCCTCCCACTGACCCCAATGAGGGTGCACCATTCCTCCCACTGACCCCAATGAGGGTGCACCATTCCTCCCACTGACAAAGAATGGGTTATAATTCCTCCCATTGACACCAAGAATAGGTCACTATTCCTTCCACTGACAAAAACAATGAAGCACTGTTTCTGCCACTAAAACAAAGGATGGATAACTATTCCTGTGCTCCTGCTAACCACAGATGCTGTGTCTTTTTTTTTTTTTTTAATGTATTGATGCTGGGGCATTTTCTACCCCCACCAGGAACATTCCTACCCCTAAAGTGTGAAGACAACAAAATTGTCCTGTGGTTAGAAGGTTTGGAGACCCCTGTACCCAGCAGAGGTCCTCAAAGATAACCATTGGTCTTTGTGGTACCTCACAACTGTTCCAGTTCTTACAGAGCACTGTACTGTATACATTCCTTGAAAACACATTACAGCCAATTGCTTTCAGATCTTCAAATAAAAACTGTTAGGACAAGTTCTGACAGGTAAGCCTGAAAACAATTTGTGACACAGACAATACAAAAATAAAAAGTTCACAGGACCACTCCTAGGAAGCATCACAGGCTATAAGCACAAGTTCAGACACACCTATAGCCCATGCCAAATTATATATCTTTACTCCTCATTGTGCATGAAACATGACACTGTCACTTCATTCATCAACATTTTGCGATACACAGGAACACCTGCAAATTGAATCAAAACGTATTTTAGAGGAGGGCGTAAGAACAGGTTTCTACAATAAATGATGAGTCAGACTCCCGTTTTTAATTCTGATGTGGCTACCAGGCAGCAAATTCCAGGCAAAAAAAAAAAAAAGGTTGTATTTAGGTCAAAATTTCAACACTGCAGTTACGGCAAAGATCTCTCCCTTGTCAATATAAATCACTACAGGAAATGACTCTTCCGAATGCAGTGTCACTTTTTTTCTGTTCTGTTCCACAACACACACTTGTCTGTTCCCATCCTAGTAAACAGTTAAAGGAACATGGCATATTCTTCCATATAATTTTGGGATGAAGTTATAAAAGAAAATAAAAAATAAAAGAGTAGATATGGCCTGTGGTACAGTCACAATATGGTCCCAAACCCGGTAGTGAAGCATGGTGGTGGTAGCACGTTTCCAACACTGCTCATCACCCTAAGATCATCAACCCTATGGTAAAGCATGGTAACAAGTTTTCAAAATGCCACCAGTCTGCCATCTAAGCTGACAGTACTAATGCATTTTTAACAAGAAACTGAAACATAAAATGCATTACGTAGATGTGTAACCTTAGTGAAGACCTTGTATGAAATTACAAGTCACAATATGGTCCCAAAGCGATTGTTCTATAATCTTGTTGCAAAAAAATGTGTATGTTTGGTTCTGTGGACAAGGGAATGGAAAGCTCTATGGGCACCAGAAGGTTGTGTGGGAGACATAGCAAACATGATATATCGGAGAAGGCATAGGACAGAAGGTTTGTGAAAGATAGAGCAAACATGAGTCTGTTTGATGGAACCAAAAATTAAGGTACAGAAAGTCAACACAGCTCATCGACCTAAGAACATCAACCCGGTAGTGAAGCATGGTGGTGCTAGCACGTTTCCAACAGTGTGTTCATCGCCCTAAGATCATCAACCCTATGGTAAATCATGGTAGCAAGTTTTCAAAATGTCACCAATCTGCCATCTAAGCTGACAGTACTAATGCAATTTTAACAAAAAACGGAAAAAGAAAATGCATTATGTAGATGTGTAACCTTAGTGAAGACCTTGTATGAAATTAATCCTTGCAGAAGAGGATACATATTGCAAACAAAAAACATATGCTATTCTGTTTAAAATGTTTGTGTCAAAATAATTTTTGCCACCCTATACAGTGAGGAAAATAATTGATCCCCTGCAGATTTTGTAAGTTTGCTCATTTACAAAGAAATGGTCTATAATTTTTATCATAGGTGTACTTTAAATGATAGACAGAATATCAACCAAAAATCCAGAAAAAAAAAACAAAAAACAATACAGATACATGATAGAGATTGAGTTGCAGTTCAGTGAATATAATAAGTATTTGATCCCCAAGCAAAACATGACTTAGTACGAGGTGGAAAAACCCTTCTAGGCAAACACAGAGGAATATAGGTCCACTCTCATTACAGATCTTCTCTAAATCCTCAAGGTTTCTTGGCTGTCGCTTGCCAACTCGAAGTTTCAGCTCCCTCCATAAATTTTCTATAGGCTTAAGGTCTGGAGATTGCCTAGGTCACTCCATGACCTTAATGTGCTTCTTCTTAAGCCCCACCGTTGTTGCCTTGGTGGTATGTTTTGGGTCATTGTCATGCTGAAAGACCCGACCACGACCCATCTTCAGTGTTCTGGCTGAGGGAAGGAGGTTCTCAATCAAAATTTTATAATGCATGGCCGCGTCCATTGGCACCTCAATGCAGCAAAGTCAGACTGTACCTTTAGTGGAGAAACAGTCCCAAAGCACAATGTTTTCACCTCCATGCTTGACTGCAGTGATGTTGTTCTTGGGGTAATAGTCAGCATGTTTCTTCCTCCAAACACAGAGAGTTGAGTCAATGCTAAAGAGCTCAATTTTGGTCTCATCTGACAACAGCACTTTCTCACAATCCTTCTCTGAATCACTTAGATGTTCATTGGCAAACTTCAGATAGGCCTGTACATGTGCCTTCTTGAAAAGGGGGACCTT